AAGGGGTTCCCTCCGGTGATATCCAAGGTGGTGCTTCCGGCGTTAAGGATGATATGTCTGTTATTCTTCGCGGCTTTGCCAACTTCTTTGCTCCATCTCCGTCTTCTACACCCACTCGCTCGTCGGAGTCGGAGTCGCGCGGTCTTGTTGGGATACGGAATGATCTTGTAGAGATCGGTGGGAGTTTTAAGAGCTCGATTTCCCGTCTCTCCAGTAATAAAGCGGTGAGTGGAATCTCCAAGTTCGCCTCCCAGTTGTTGCAGTTCGAAAGTCAAGTCGTTGATGATGATCAAGACGGAGGTCGTGGCGTGCCTGGGACGAACGATGAGGTCGTTCGTTTTGTGAAGGAAATTTCTAAGCGGCCCGATTGTTGGACGGATTTTCCACTGCCACTTGATTATGGTAATTGAAACTGACTTCGATTTCTCGTTTTCCTTTCCAATTGATTCCTTTTGACCGGCGGGAGTTACTGTAGTCGAGATGATCATTCTATTAGAGTACGATTTATATTATTTGATTGTCAGTGAATTGATGATTTGATATCCTCGCAAGATCGTTCCTATTACTGGGTTGGATTATTATCCTCAATTCGTAGTTCCCGAGTCTTAAACATGAACTCTTTGTATATTACGACACTTCATAAGCTGTTCTTAGTTCTTCCCATATTGCCCCCCTGTCACTATTTTGATCATGCGGCTAATTGGCTTATTTCATTATGATTGTTTCTACGATAAGTTCTTCTTTGCTCCTACAGAATGCAAATATTGAAATTACAAATAGACAATATCGGCACAGCTTATGGTACTATGTTGTTTGGTAAGAAGTTTACTGCCCTGGATTAGTGTTTCACTTGGACACAAGTTATTTGATCCAACTTGTTAGGAATAGGTAACAAAATCCTTTGTACCTTTTTCCTCTCTGAAAATTTATACTGAACTCTCCTTTCACTGGTAAAGAAACTGGTGATCAAAATGGATGGTAATGTTAAATGCTAGCGACCAGACGATGTGGTAACCAGTACCTACAGTGTGGAGTATTTAGTTTGGTTCGTTGCCTAGAACTTGCTTTAAAAAGGCCTGGTTTAAACAAAAAAAGTGAGCTGTCGTTTACTGATGCTGGAAATAATATATTAGGAAAGACTCCTGTTGTTGAAAGTATGGACAATTGCACTATAAATGCCTGATTCAAGAGGTCAGGTACTTTTTGTAGCAGCTCAAGGCACAATGCCTTTTCTTTAGTGTTGAAAGGGCAAGCCAATGAGCGGGTGTCCTTAGTTGCCTCAACATGTTAGAAAAGCCAGTATGCTTCTTCATGATATAAAGTCTGCAAAGAAGTTAATGCCCTTTTTATTCCAACTTAATGCATTGACATTGATAGGCACTGATATGGGAAATTTGACTTGTTCCAGCTGATTTCAGTATGTCCCATCCTCAGAGGCAACATGCATTAACTATAGAACAACTGGTGCCTGAATTTGTGGCACTTAGACTGAAACTTTGTAGCTACATGAATGTGGAGAAATTCTGGTTGATCTACTTTCTGTTGTTACTTCCAAGACTTAATCAGCGTGATTTTGAGCTGCTATCAACTGCCAAGGCAAGCAGCATTTCTCAACATAATGTCTCTATCCGTTTTGGTTTACATGGACCACTAGGTCTGGATATATGCTTGTCTAGCATTTTTGTTCATTTGTGTCTAGATAATTGGCTTCCAGAATCTGGCTTTTGTTCTTGCAATTTTTTTTAAGCCATGCCACTTGCATGCAATTATTTTTATATTACATAGTTATATTTATTTTTACTTTAAAAATATCTTATTCTAAATGTTGGCATTAATAACGCTTATACTTGCCGTGCCACTGGAATGCAAAGCACTATTAAGTGGACCTGAGGTGATAACATAATGTTACTATATTGACTAATGAGAAACGGTGAAGCATTTCATTTATTCTGTGCCTTTTTGAAGTGAATCTCTGACTCTTGAATCTTTGTAATTGTATATCTTGGATTACGATCAGATTCACCTCCAGTTTAAATGAATGTTATTGATTTTCCTTTGGCGTTCTCTCCAGCTACTTTGTGTGGATTAAGACTTCCATGCTGTTCAACCTGGCTAGCGTGAGAAAATAATTTCTTGCATAACTATCTTGCGCTTGGTGTTTAGGGTTCTCAAATTTGTCAGCAGAAAGGTTCTTTTTTAAGTTAACTAATTTGCATCTCTCTCACTTCTTTTTTTGGTGCAGATTCTTGAAGCACGAAGTGTGCTTCTGAAGAGACTTGCAGACAAGACTACTTTACAGGCGGAAAACTCCGAAAACCTGAGGAATCTGAGTCCACATCAAGACGTTGGGAACGACTCTTTCACAGAAAGAGACAATATTTCGTCTGATGAAAACCTGATTTTGGGTGAGATCACAAGTGCAACGAAATGTTTAGAAATTGATGATGACACGATGAGTAGTTCTGCAAGATGGTTTGAAGATACAGATATTGGCAATTCCCTTGCAAAATTCAAGCAAGAGGAAGAGGATGTGTCATTCAGTGACCTACAAGATGAAGATGATGATAAAAGTGTTATTTCTGATTGTGAGAGATTATCAGGCTCTAGGGAGGCACGTGACCTAATAAGGGTTTCATCACGTGATGTATGCAGTGATTGGGATAAGTTATCTGAGAATTCTGAGAGAGGAGGAGGAGGACGCCAGCAGAAGGCTGTGCATTTGAAGGGGAAGGATTCAGAAGATGAATCAAATGATTGGTTCACCGTTGATCATTTTTAAATGGACAGGGTTTTTTACTTTCTCAAAGTTACAAATTTATTGTAAAGGCTTCTCACGTGTCCCATTGTGTATTTAAGGATTCCAAAATTTTATTGACATTGTGTATTTAAGGATTCCAAAATTTTATTTAATGTCAATATATCAGTATTATTAATTATTATCAATCCTCTACATATTATTTTTCGTTTTTTTTTTAAATTAGAATTAGAGGGCTAGTTACCTCCCCTATACTTGAGGAGCGTCTTTGCCATTTGGGTAAGATACTAAGCTCCCAGTTTCGACCGACGTGTGCACACATACACAAACATATGAATATATATATATATATATATATGCTAATACTCATAAATTGCGTAGATTATGTTTACTTTGATACTAGTTCCCCGGAATATCTCTAACAATGCATTACCCTTCAAAACAAAAAGGAAGTATTGGCTAATGTCTATTTAGAGTGGCCATGTTTTTGCGGTGCAACCTATACTATTTGGTAGGCTTTGACAAGTCAAGAACTAATGCTTAGATGATTTAAAACCTAAATTTTTTATCAAAAAAGAAAACACTTGTTTATAGAGAGGTGTGTTTTTCTTTGTATCATTTTAAATTTACTGAATTATTGAATAGTTTGCGACGGGAAACGATTCATGCCGATTTTTTCATTCCCTTATTTTGTTATTTTTTAATTTGCCGTTCTTCATGAAAAGTCTATTTAAGCCTTCAAGCGAAAGTGCAAGTTTTGCTTTTTAGGGGATGCTCATTTACTCTTAGAACAGTCTAACAAGAACAGGGATGTTAGGGCTGCTTGGCTTGTACTGGGTTCGTGCGGAGCTTCTATTTTTTTTGCGGCCACCGAGAGGTCCATCTTATAGTGCTGCTAATTTTTGGTTGGTGTAAGGACTTCCGATTATGAGTATCTTCAAGAAGCTTTTGGGATGGTTCTTGGATTGTGTTGCTGCGAAAACAGATGCATCACTCGCTTCCTATGGTCGTTGTACCATTTTCCCAGTTCTAGAGTTATGCTCTTGTAGTTGGCTTCTCATCCTTCAGGATTTTCAAGGCCTTTATGGTCGTTCAAGCCTTCAAGATGGTTTGCAAGTGCCCTTGGTGCTTCCTTTGCATGCGGTCGCCTCACCCTTTGCTCCTGATCACTTTCTATTTAGTAGATTCATGGTTCGAGTTGTATCGTTTCAAGCTCTTCTCTTGCTTATTTTAGAGTTCCTGTTTTTTGTTTTCTTTTTAATTTCTTATTGAGCTCCTATAATTTTATTAGATTTCATCAATGCTATGTTTGTGAAAAATATATATATATATATATATATATAAATTTAAGATATTTATTATATCTATAGTCACATTAACTACAAGGGATTACTTTTTTTGGTTTTTATTATAAGTTTTAAATAACTAATTTATAAATAATAAACAATTAGATAAAATTAATTAAAAATAATAAATAAGTGAGAAATATATTTTTCTTTCTAAACATGTCTTTGTAATAAATAAGAAAAAATGAAAAAATGTGATAAGAGAGATTATAACAAAAAAAAAAAAATTAAGACTAAAATTAGAAAAAGTATATTAAATGTTAAAAAAAACACTAAATTAAAACTTATAAAATCAATCGTATTTCTTTTCAAATTTGAAGCTTGGAGGACATGAGCAAGCAATAAAAATGGCTTTCATAAAGATCAAGAGAAAAAATTGTTCACATTTGTAAGGCAAACTTCTTAATTTTCATTTTACTTTCTCATCAAAGCATACGTCAGTCCTTGTTGAAACTCTCTTCGTATAACATTCTGTGTATAGTTAGACCTGAGTTTTGGCGATGAACATCTTAAACTCATCAAATTTGAACCATTTATGTCTTATTTGGATGGTTAGGATTTGATTTTTTTTATTTATTTAAAATAATTATTTTAATATAGATGAAATCTAAAATAAGAATAATCTCTTAATTATTTTTTTTCAAAAAATAATTTTTTATTTAAAATAATTAATTAAAAATTTTAAATCTAAACTGTTGAAATCAATCAAATATAAATGATAATTTGATCAGTGTTGCTCGTCAAAATGATGATCACCGAACCTGTTCCGTGGTTGAACTCAGTGAGCGAGGAAATATGAGGGTATGATATACAGATACATTACAATGCTCTGCTTTCTTTTCCTTTGTATATAACTATAAATACATGTAAAGAGATTGATAAATCAAATTTATCAGTCACTGCTTCCAATTCCATCATTCTCCATTCACGCTCGAATCGACGATATATTGATCCGTCGAAGCCACACAGAGTGAAGAATCATATGAAACACATCATAGGCCTTAGCGGGTCGATTCACCTCAAAGTGTCTCTGCACCTGAATCACCCTTCTCTGCATTCTCAGATACTTCCCTTCCTCCACACTCTGCAATACTTTCTTCAATTCCCATATCTTCTCCGACGGAATGCGCACCGAAAACTTGCTCCAATCAAGGACATCCGAAAACGGCGGTTCGTAGGCGTCGGCGATTATCACAGGGACGCAACCGGCATAGATGGCCTCCACGGTCCTCGGACTCGCGACCTCGAATCCGCTGGGGCACAAGCAGAACTTGCTTCGCTCCATCATTTCCAAGTAGTTGAGATTTGGAGGAAGTTGTTCGTACACTTGGAGTTGTTTGTCTTTGCCCTTCCAGGTCTGGATTAGCGTTTCTCTGATGCTCCCATGGATCCCACCGGCGAAGAAAGCGAGGACGGAGCGATTCTGTGGGTGTTGGCCTTGGCGAGGATGGCTGGATTCACTGGCTCGCAAGTTGATTTCAGGTATGGATACATCTTTTGAAGGATTGAACTGCTCTGATTTGTTGGCGTTGCATAATGCTCTTATTATGTTCTTGTACAATTGCTTATCTGGGTTCTCCTTTGAGATATCTGGTGCCTGCAAAAAGTTGAATGTGAAGCTACACCATTGATACTTTTACAATAACCTTTGCCCTTTATTTCATTTCTTAGTTTGCCATTCATCTAAAAAATATCTTCAGACTTACAGATTAGCGAACCTAAAATGATTTGTTTTATTACAGGTATGAGTATTGGTTGGCTTGGGTTGACTCTTCAAAATCGGGTCTATCAATTGACTTAATGAGCTTCATACGAATTGACTTTATTAAATTTGATATTTTTAAAATATCATACGCATGGATATTCCATTGTAATACCCCCCCAACCCCTTGGAGAATATCATGATTAAGAATCCATAGGTTCTTTCCTTGTTTTACTCTGGAGTTTGAATCCTTTAGGTTCCAAAGAAATGGGTACAAAGGAACCTGCATGTATGCATACTAATCAGCACATGCACAAATGTCGAAGTGCTAACATAGCGCTTTAAGTTTGTGTTTCCCCTCTTCTTAGGGACGAAGTTTTGCTTGACATGCTTTTGTTATGCTTCATATTTTAGAGGAGACCATAGAGAATACCAATCGCCTTTATTACGCTTTATTTGACTTCAAGTTGGAAACTTCCATATGAAAGATTTCTTAGTGTACAACCGGTATAAGCTAGCAGTAATAGTTGTAGGTATGGTGTCACACGCTATGCGGGTTGTTGCATTGTCTGGTTTACAGTTTGATAGTTGTATTCTAACTTATGTTTTGAGTTGCTGGAGTTGCTTCGTCCTTTTCCTTGAAGGAGTGAGCACTTTTATGGAAGGCATCATCATCCATAAGGGACGGATGAAACAAAGGATACTTCTATCGCGTCTTTTGGAATGTTTCTTGGGGAAGTTCATTCTTTGAGGGCTATTTATGTGAAATCCCCACCCCAAAACAAAATTTTCAACCTTCCTAGGCAAAGGTTAGACTTGCAGTTTTGGGAGGACCAGTTAAGGTTTTTAAAATGGGGCACTAATTGCTATGTTTTTCTGTGTGGTGAATTTGTACTATTTTGTTTGAAGTTGCATTCTGTAGAAACCAGAGGTTCTGTGCGCCTCTGTTCTTCAATTTTATGCCCTGAACAGCATGTATATGTATAGGTTGTAGAGACACTCTAATTCTCCTGGGATCATCTTAGATATCATAACTACAATAATGTATACTAAGATATCATAACTCTGTTCATATACATGTGCATATATATGAACAGCATTTATACCCTAGAATCATAGATTTAATTTCTGATATACTAAGATAAAAAAGAAGTACCATATCTAATAGGATAAAATAACAAAATGAATTGTATAAAGGGATCAAGTTATTTACCCAGTCATGACAAGAGAGCAGCAAATGGTCAGCTCCATTGGTTCTATTCCAGAATGGGTGTTTATGTGATATAAGGTGGGTATAATTATTGACTGTTGTGACAAGTAAATCTCGAGCATAGGTGACCAGAGGTCGGTACAGGCGGCTCACAATGTTGCTTACACTGATGGGTAAGAAGAAGACATGGGCTTCATCTGGATGAGAAGCAGAGAATGAGGTATTCCCTTTCTCAACTTCTTGCATGAAGTATCCTTCTATGCCATAAATTGATTCTGTAGGACCTTCATGCACCAAGGGGGGTTCACCTTCCCAGTAAGTCCACACCATGAATCTCTTCACCATCTCTGTGTGACTCCTGAACAAGCCCAATCATATTTAAGGCAATGAGGTTAGTTATTTGCTAGTATGTTCAGTGATTGTTTGAAAGATGGAAGCCATCATCACAATGTAGCTGCTAGCCATGGGTGGAAATAAGCCATAGGCTGATTAGGTGGCTAATGGCTTGGCCTATTTGACAAACAGGTCAAGCTTAAACTCACATCCAATTTTGTTAAATTATTTATAAAATCATCTATTAGATTTTTACTGCTCAATTTTCATTTGTTGAATTGTTAGATTGGCTAGTGGCTTGACTAGATTTGAAACATGAACTTGTGTCATGAACAAATTAACTTGTTTGTATTGCTGTAAACTTATAATTGTATTTTGGTGTTTTATGTAATAATGTGACGTATGAAATTTTGTTATCTTTTTTTTTTTTAATTAAGAGGAAATTTTAATAAAAGATAAAAAGATACATTAAAAAAATTGTTATCTTTTTATGGACGTTTTAATAGGCGGCAGACCTATTTGAGGCCTTGAAGGCCTTTGACCCATTTTTGAGTTGGATTTATATTAGCTTGCGGGTTGGTCAGGTCTTTCCTAGGCCCAAGCCTAAATAAAGCCCTTGTATGAGCCCACAAGTTAAATGTGGGTTTTAGACTTCAAATGCTAGTAATTTTTATTTAGCCAAAATTTAGACTGGCTAGGACTATCAACATTTTTAACAATAAAGAGCTATTATTTTCTTTTAATACTTCAAGAACAACCTTAAACTCAAAAAACTTTCAAGATAACATTACTTTTAAATGAAAAGTTTTCAGAACAAATTTGCATTTAACCCTTTGAAAAATTAGTGAAATTGAAATTGAGTTCCATGAGAATACAAGCAAAGGCTTGCCGGACTCTTACGGGAAAAAAAAATTGAAAAAGAAAAAAAAAGGCATGCGTGACATTTTTGTCACGGTGCTTTTCTATTTTATTCTCTCTCTATCTACCTATCTATCTATGTATATGTATATAAATTAATGATATAATCCCTAAAAGTCCTCCAAATTTTGTCTTATAAAGCTAAGGCTTTCTGATCTTGTATTTAAAATATCATTTTCTTTAATTTAATGTTTTGAAGACAAAGCCACTCAATGTAATCAGAACTATTCTTCTACGTATTATCCAAATAAAAAATGTCCTTCTAGGGAGCAGTACTATTCTTTTTGTTTAAGACGTTCATTTTGGTTTTTTAAATCTTATAAAAGAAAAGATTGAAAGAAAAGTGATCATTAGAAATAAATTGATTTATTTTTAAGGGACTGAATTGCTGTTACTAGAGAAATATCTTAGGCATGAGAATACGTTATCTATTGCTGCAAAAATTAATATTATTGTTCTATTAATTTATAATACTCCTCCGATCCTTATGAGAGTTGACGTTGCTTCTAAATATAAGTCTTATTTTATATGTTTATTTATTAATTTTTGAAAGTAACCCTATTAATATTCACTCAATAATAATCAAGTAGAAGATAGAGAAAGAGAATTAAAGATTATTAAAGTGTTTTAGAAAAAACATATCATATTAATTAATTTAATTAATATCTATAATACTCTTCCGATCATTAATATAAGACCTAGTTATCAAGTTAATTTTAATTTGAAATATAAGATTTATTTTTTATATTTATTAATTTTTTCTAAATTACCCTTATGGATACTCTCTCAACCATAATCAAGTAGAAGAGGGAGAGAAGATATTAAAAAAGATTATTGTGGTGTTTTAGAAAAAACATGTCATATTTCTTATAATTAATTAATTTACCTAATTTTTTTAATCTAATCAAATCAATTAAATAGATCTTATATTAAGGATCGGAGGAGTATATTCAAATTAGTTAATCAAGTATCACATTAAGGATTAGAGGAGTATGTATTTAACCTGGTTAGTTTTCAACAATCTAATTTCCGATAATTTTTTGAAGGACATACAACACAACAATGAAAGTATGGTGCATGGCACATTATGCTGTTGTTTGCTGCAAAATAGAGAATCCTAATCCTTTCATAATTTAATGGTGGGTTACTGCTAGCTAAATCCACAAGCAAACAAGTCTTTTCAATTCACACTGCTGACTCACAACTGTAAGTTAGCCTACTAACCCACGAGTTAACCCATATTTATTTTTTATTTTTTTAATTTTATTAATTACTATAATTATATTATTATATTTTATATCGTATCTTAAAAAAATTTTAAGAAATACCTATATCATTTATTTGGTGCTTTCAATCAAATATTTGGAAAAAAAATTCATTATCTTTCGTTTAGATTGTATAAGAAAAAAATACTTTAAAAATTATTTTTTTAAAAAAAGAAATAATAGTTAGTGGGCCAATCTATCATGGCAGGTTAGGATTGGCTAAAAGTTAGATCACCATTACATGAGCTTTTTTAACCCACACTGTTGAACCTTATTACTAGCCTTAGATGCTAATGTCAAATGAATGGTATTTTTAGGAATTTATATTTTATGCTTTTTGCAAAAAATGGTTAATATCATTTTTAGTCCATAAAATTTGATTTCATTTTGATTTTGATCCCTAAAATTTGAAACTAGTGATTTAAACCTTGTTTCAAACGCCAAAAACACTGTTCCAAGAACTAAAAATCTTTAAATAGACCAAGACCAAGTCAAATTTTAGATATTAAAACCACTATTTTCAAATTTTAGGAACCAAAATTAAAATGAAATCAAATTTTAGGGATTAAAATGATATTAGCACTAAAAAAAATTTAAGATTCTCAAATGCATTTAGTTATCTTCGTTATGCAGTTAAGAAAACAACTTATAAAGAGGGAATAACACCATTGTGCTGTCATTTTCTGCATTGAGGAATACTAATCATCTAGAAACCAAAATCATTAATGTACTCTAAATCAAATCCACTGAATAAATTCTAGTGCTTTTATTTTAATGTTTGAAAAAAAAAACACTCAGGTCCCAAAAAAAGAATGTAGTTATCAAAAAGCCTTATGGCAAGTGAGTCGTAACATATAATGATAAATTTCAGTGCAAAAAATGATAATATATTTATAATACTCAATTATTATGAAACTTTCATCTTCAGATTTTATAATGATTTTCCCTTTAATTTTATTAACATTTTCTCCAAAATAAAAAAGTGACAACAGAAATTTAGGGGTAGGGGAAGCAAAAAATATAAAAGGGTCAAAAAATGAATAGTACAAATTGTGAATCTATGGTCAACAAAGATTAGAAAACATGAAGTGGTCAATATTCTCCTTTTTAAAGTCAACGGTTAAAACTTTATGAATAAAAAAAAACTCATGTTAAGAAAATTATTATCTTTCTCCTTTTTTTTTTTCGCCAGAAGAAAGTTATTCTCAGTTATTCACATGACAATAATCGAAACTAGCCTAGTAATATTATAAACCAGGTACTTTCGTTTGTGTCGTGTGTGTGTGTGTGTGAGAGAGAGAGAGAGCTTAACTGATAAAAAGCATAAGCATTATGGTAAATGCTCCCTCTGGGGATGAAGCTACCATCTTTCTCTGACGTAAATCTTCTGCTTTTCATGGCTTTTCTTATAGCTTTCCTTGCTTCATCCAACTCCTCAACCTTCTTCCATTTCTGCTCCTATAAGTATAAACTCATATATAACAGCATCAGTAACAACTTCAAATACAGAAGAAAACCAGAGATCAGAAGCAAATACAATAATGCAGATGTCAGAAATCACAAAAGGGCTCATACTGTATCATCATGATGAAGAACTGCTTTGTGGTTTTGAGCTGTTTGGAGTCTTAGAGGCAGCGGAATGCTAACATCTCTTTGGTATTTGTAAGTGTAGATGCTAACCAAGAGAAGGCTCAAAAGGAAACTTGTAAAAAGTTTTAAGCATAATCTCAAGCTTGCTGCCATGGCTTCCCACTGTAGTTTATTATTTCTCGCTCTTCTAGCTACAGGCCAAGGTCATATAATAATATATTAATGAGAAATATATATAATGTGGATTGTTATATGAAAAAATATGCGTGAGGTGGATGTTATGCATATGAACTTTCACCTAATTTTAATTTCTAGAAATATACAAGTTTCTTTATTGTTTATCTTTAAATCTTACCTAATCGAGTATGCATATCACCTTTTGGCTCTTATATGAGTTGTGTTAAATCATGCAAATTCCATTCTTATATTTTCTAAGCTTATACAATTATTGACTATAACAAATAAATTCGTTCCTGTTGTGACTCAAAATAATGCGAATTATAAAAAAAATTTGTTATATTTGGATTTAATTTACATGAGTTTTTTTTCAAAAATTTTATTTATTTATAAATAAGTGTGTATAAATTTTCATTGTATGGCATGGCAACCCAGACCACAAGGCTCTTACACAAGAATTTGATGCATACACTGTTATTTCGAGGCTCACTCTCTTTATATGGCATGGAATCTAAAAAAATTAAATCATATGACTTACAAATAATTTGAAAAATGTCTGCCCTATTTGGAAAAAAAATTGGAGATAAATTTGTGTTAATTTTAAAAATTAACTAACTCAAGAATAACTCATAAGGTTTTCACAACTAATGCTCCAAATTTTCTAGACCATCCAAATGTTTAACTAATGAAGACATTATTAAGCTCTCAATTTAAGATCCAAATTAAATATCACAATCCCATATTAAAACCATAGTGTTTAATAACAAATAATTAATGTTTGAGGTCCACACACACACCTGTTTCTTAAGTACAGAGTACATTACACCATTGCCTATCTCTAATACTCAAGTTTTGTAACTTTGTTCAAGACGTATTTAAATTAACATAGTAATGTATTTAAGGCTTAATTTCTATATACTGGTCTTGATGAACTCTTAACAAATGGGATTTTAAATGCTTAAAGAAATTAAGCTCTTTTTTTTTTTGTAATTTGTAGATTTGTAGTAAACTTTCTTAATTTGGGGAGAGATCTTTGATGTGATGAGTTCTTATTGCTTATCCTCTAGAACTAGACAATATTGGTAATATATAGTAACAGTAGTTGGGTCTTATCTCTTTTATGTTTCTTTTTGTGAAATGGGATCTATCGTTTAATTAGTCGTATCAAAATCATAGACAAATGCCTTGAAAAATCTTCTAATTTATATCTATGGTTGAAGACTTTCGAAATTAAATTTCTTTTTATGCATGACAAAGCTAATTTGTCGGTTATATTTTTTGTGGAAGTGATATTCATAATTTTCCTAAATTGTGATTTTATTTTTTCCTGATATTACAAAGACTCATCAACGACCCAAAAAAAAAAAGTCACTTGTGCTTCCAAAATATATTATTTATAATTTACAAATTGTTGTTTCCAAC